GTCCTTACCAGTCTGTGTCACACACAGCATTTTTTCTTTGCAGTAATTGAGCAATAACCCCTTCACCTTCACTACCACCACTTCTTCCCAATTTCATGAACTGCTGCGTTTGTTTAAGATGGAGCAATAAGCTTAGATGGCATAGCAAGACTTAGCATTATTTATTTTATTTCTATTCCCAAAGCTGTGTATAAGTTTGTACCTGGTTAAAGAGCCCTTAATGTAAATAAATACTTTTCAACTCTAAAAAGTAAAAAAAATACTGAGTTTTTGATATGTGAAAGGCTTTCTTAGGTCTACTCAGATTTTTGACTGCTAAGGTGGTCACTGCCCCTAACCCCCACGTTGTTCAGGGGTCAACTGTGTGTGTGTGTGTGTGTGTGTGTGTATTTAAAAAAAAAATTTTCATATATATATATATCTATATATATCTATATATATATATATATATATATATATATGAAACACCAACTGGACAACCCTTTAATCCCTAGAGTAATCAATGTAAATTACCTCTCTGATACGAGAATGAGAACAAAATGTGACTAAGAAGAAATGTGTTTTAACTGAACAATAAGAAGGGAGATGAAGTGAAACACTGTCACCTATTTGTGCCACCATAAAACGCTGTTACACAGCATACCTTGGCTGGGTTGATCATTCTCTTGTTCTCGTTTCAGTGTCATTTTTCTACCATTCATTTGAGCATGCAGTGCTTGAATTTCAGATAACAAACTCCTTCTATCTGCTTTCTGGAGGCATTCCATAGCTGCCTGATATTCAATACCCTATAAAATGCAAAGTAAAAAAATCAAGTGAAGAGAGTTATAAGAATAATAAAATTAACAACCTGAAAGTCTGAAGAATGAAAGGAACGCCACGCTAAAATTTTCTGAAGAAATTAATTTTCTCTTTGTGCTTATTAGGATTTACTTTCTGGTTATTAATATTTACATTTATTTTGAAGTTCTCAAACACACAAGAAAACATGAAGAATAACATAATAAACACCCATGTACAATACTTAGCCTAGGAAATAGCACCTTTACAACTAGAGCCCCCTGCGTACAACTCCCTGAACACATCCTCCTCTGCACCGCCTGCTCAAGAAATAATTCTAAGTCTGGCGTTGTTTTCACACTCTGTATACTATATTACATACACACACATGTCCTAAACAACATACAATACCGTTTTGCATGTCTTAAAACTTTATATAAATGGCATCGTATTGTATTCACTTGGTGTAATTTGCCTTTTTCACTTAGTGTTGGTGAACCATCTAGGCTGACATATGTAGCACTACTTAACACTCATTTTTCATTATTATATAGTATTCCATATTACGAATAATATAGTACATTCTGAGCATCTTTTCATATAATTATTAGATACTCTTTATTGTCTTCCATGAGAGCACATATTTATATCATTTGTTCACTGGTTGTATTAATCTCATTGGATACTTGGTTAGTTAGTTTTCTTGTGATGTCTTTGCTTTTGAAACTCATCGAATGGGTTGGGAAGTGTTCCTTTCTCTTCTTTATTTGGATAAATTAATGAAGGACTGGTAATAATTCTTTTTTAAACATTTGGTAGAATTTACCAGTGAAGCCATCTGATCCTGGGCTTTTCTTTGTGAGAAGTTTTAGAATTACTAATTTAACTCTTAATTATAC